AGCGCCAGATGATAGAATTGGGCAGGGTCAAAAAAAAAGAGGGAGGAGGGAGAAAGAGAGAGATAAAGAAAGAGATAGAGAGAGTAAGACAGAGATGCCGCGAGGGAGTAGAAAAAGAGAGAAAGAACGAGAGACGGTGAGAAGAAGAGGAAGAGAAAGAAAGAGAAAGATAACAAAATAGAAGACGTAAATAATTGCAAACGTATGCGCCCGTGATGAAGATCAATTAGATAATTTAGGAAGCGGGTTACTCCGACACTCTCCCCCTCCTCTCCTCGTCCCCTGCCCCCAACCTCCAGGGCCAGCCCCAGCTTGAGTTGGATACATCATTTCATGAGAAGGACAAAATATACTTGATGTAAAGAACGTCCCCACTGCGGTATCAAACTCAAGTCTATAACTTGCAGATGGAAAGTGCCAAGCAATTAATTACATCCCAGACACTGCTGAAACGAGAGGCACGGAGATACAGAACGAGATTGCTTTTTTTCGTAAGTTGAACCGCTACTGCTTTGGGCATAGTGGTGACAACGTGCTTATTAGTTCACTCTACGTTTAATTATTTTCAGGAGGGCGGGGAGCCTTTAATCTAGAAACAAAAAGCTGATGGTTCATTTCGAAAGTGTGTTCCCTGTCACAGATAAAGGGCTTATCAAGCTGAAACATTCAAGGCTTTATGGAAACTGATTGCATCCTTTCCTGGATAGGCGGCAGTCCTTTCATCTATCTCTCAACGCTTAATTAATGACTATACGTATTTGTACCATGCTGAGAGAATGGCAATGTAATTTCTCGTCAGACATGTTTCTCAAAGGAAGCCAAACGATAAAATGTTTCCGAAGGTTTTATTTCCAAAATGATAACTTACGTAAAAGGGCTTGAAAGGTATACCTATACCATGTTTGAGGAATTGATTAAGTTTCTAAACAGGCCAAACATATCAGAATATGTGCTCTTGGGATGTTTGTTTTTTTAAGTCCCAAACGATTCAGCTGCTAGTCTATAGTAATAGCAGCTGTTATCAATGTATCACCATATCATCCTCCAGAGCATGAATTTCTTTCGAATTCACGAAAATGCTACCCGCAGCTGGTGATCGTAATGACAGTATAATTTACGACACTAGCATGCTTTCATAGAAATAGTCCCTCCATCAATCAAGCTATCATCATTTACGATCTCTGATCGCATCTTACAGCACAAAGTAGTGTGGGATATTTTCTATTTGTCCATGATAAGGCATATTTCACTGAAAGGTGAAAATGATTAATGAAAGTAAAAATGAGCTTTCATATGTGTCGATTAAGCTCACAGGTGGTTAACCTTAAGATGTGGTAGGGGGCTGTAGGGGGGAGAGGAGAACAATTACTAACACAATAAAAGATTAAAAGCGTAACTAACACCTGAATTAAGTGAATAGATATTAAAATATTTGGTGTAAATAAAGCTTAGGGACAAGTGCGATAAAGAAAATGGGAGACCGTATTTAATTATGCAAAAGTACACAAGAAGTATTGTCAATCTAGCCAGCAGCGAGGAGCTTTGGTGAAGCAAACATGTTGTTTTTTTCCTTTGACTGAAAATAGCAGCACAGGTAAAGATCATCGAAGAAGTTATGTTTGTGAAATATTACTTCTAACGCTTCCGAATAGAAAGTCTCGCTTTATTAATCGTACAATCCAGTACCAATGTTTAGGAGCAGATGGGATCGTTTTGAATATTAATTGGAGATGAAGGATTTATGAAAATCCCAGAACAGTACATGTGGGTGTGGTGTGACGAGTAATCAGCTGTGTCTTATCCTTTTTTTCGATTTTTAAAGCTGAAAACCCCACAATGTGGGTGGGACGTTGAGACTAATTTCCTTGCAGCCAGTGGACAGTTAAGTAGGAGGAAGTCTGATGTGTAACCGGTTTCCTGTCCGGCTGGTAAGTAGATGTCCACTAAGCGACTATTCCGGGAGACAGTGATCGAGTATATCCACGCACACCGGGCAAGAAGTCCATCTGAGGTCCAGAGAGTGTGGGTACAGTCCAGTGGTGAATTCAGTGGCGAGGCGGGAATGGGGGGGGGGGACTGTAATGATGCTGTGGGTGGATGCCTGTTGTTACTTAGTCACGTGGTATCGTGTTCGAGTGTTTGTTTGTCTGAGTAAAGAGAAGCCCATCGACACAACAATGGCTATTTAGTGCTAGGAAAAAGTGAGACAGAGAGACAGAAACAATAGAAGAAAAGTAAAGAAGTACGACCTACCAGTGGCACCCTCCAACCACCCACATGTGGCATTGATGGGGTTTGAAACTCACTTTAAGACAGTACATTCTTAAAAGCAAAGTACCTCTTACTAGTTGTCCGTCTCGTATAAATGAACAAGTGTAGTCTCTAAAGCGCCACTCCTCTGAACCCAAGTTTAGGAAAGCCACGTAGTGAATTCGAACAGAGTCTACAGGACTGCAGTAGAGCCCACTAACAGAGCTAAAGAAGTTTCGATTTTTAAAAAAGAAGCATTGTTACAGTTTATCAGGACCCAGGGTACCTTTCAACCAAATTTAAGGGAGATGTTATATTAAATATATATATAATATGTATATACATATACAATATAATATATATATTATAAATATATTTTTATATAAGTGTGTATATATATGTATATACATATAAATCACAAGCCTTTGCAACTGCAAAATCAATAAGAATTATTGTTAACGTCGTTATTGATTTGCTGCAGACCAAACACTGATGGAATTTGACTTTACGATCACAAATAGAGGGTTCATCGTAACGACCAAAACATACAAGTTTTACACAAGTGTAAAGAATAAGCTATAAAAACAAATATCGTTTTCCAAACATCTCACGGAAACTTATAATGCTTAACCTCACTAAAATAATACACAAAGCTTATTTATATTATAGAACCCAAGTATTTTACCCTTTTAAAAAAGTGTATTACAGAGGATGAGACAAGTTGTAATGAGTAATATTGTAGGTTGAACGAGAAAGGAATGTTCTTGAATCGCAGAATGCAATAGCCAATGACTAAATCGCGAAAAATGCTATGTAACTGAGTTATAAAAACAGACTGTTAAAAAAATGAGTCCATATACATAAAGTTCAAAGCCAAATCCCTTTGATCCTAAAAGAGTTGCAACATTTCTACGAGAGCGCGTGGCTTAAACCTTAGCACAGAATTGTGAGTCAAACAAAAAGTATTGCTTGTGTAAAAAAAAAAGTAGTTTCGTCTTTTAATCCTCCCTTCACTACAAGGGGCTGTTCAACGGCGAGTTTTATAATGTTAATGGAACATGAATCGTAAAAATGACGTAATCATTCATCTGTGTGTGCAAATACGAGCTAGCACCGCGTGTAACTGGCTATAGTATTGCCTGAGAGAAAAGGGAGTGGAGCTAGCTATCGGAAATGAAAGCTTGATTTTCAAAAACAGGCCCGACAACAATAGAGCAACTGCTGAATTATATCATTGATGTTTCTTACACTTGCAGGGTGATTAAGGAGTTTTAAAAAGGTAGTTGCTAGGGCAACAGCGTTGAAACACTCGTGTTGATAACAACAAAAGCAGCAGCAGCAACAACAACAACGTAACATAGATAACAAAAGCACAACACCCAATTCCAAACCCCAACATCTGTGCCTAAAACGTATTCATATCAATGCACAGATAATAATAATAATATGTTAACGATGGCAGCAGCAATAATCTACACCAATACCTTTTTTTCAGCAACTACAGAAAATATGTCGAAGCCATTATTATAATAGTAGTGTTATGGGGTATATCAAAATTTAAAAATATATTCTTTGAAGACGGAATGAATGTTGTAGAAACATCTGGGAAAAAAATATAGAGGAAGGACCCACCTGTGGCAATAAGAGCCTCGTCTTTATGAATTTATTATCTGAATTGCTAACGTCACTGTAGCCACCATAGGGCGCCGGATGTAGTTTCTAATGCCCCGCTGTATGCATACATGCAGTCTAGTGTAGAGACTGCCGGATATCCTGAGAAGTCACAGCCCGTACTGATTTTGTAAGTTTGTTTCCCGACACACTCCTATGCTCATTCTTTCCCTTCCATTCATATTATAATACATAAAAGGAAATAGCCCTAAGAAGTCACCATGTCAATCCGTGTATCGTCTTTTCAACTTCACACAGGCGAACGCTTAACATACATGAGACTACAAACACGTGTGGAAGTTATGAACAAAATGCGACATTTGGGATACCCTTCGTATGCTTAAAGTTAGGATGCTATTTGATTGTTATGCTTTATAAAACATGCCATTTCTTTAACAAAATCATACCATTATATCTAGAGGAGGCACATTAATACCAATCATTCTATGACATGGATCTAAGAGGCAATGTTGACGCATGTGTTCTTTTGACCTTGCAAACTCATGAAAAGTTCCATCACTAGTAGCACTTGCTATAGTTTGATTCTTTAACCCCTCGTCTTGACCACCTCTTAACTTACCAAACTAAAAGACCGTTTTCTATTCAAACTCTTTGGAGTCAGTGGTAAACTTGAATGGCTTTTACTGAATGTTTGCACAGGACTTCTCTGTGGCCTCAAAGGTGGAGCGGCAATAAAGCGCAGTTTCACAAGGAGTGAAAATCAATGTTGGGTCGACGGGTTTTAGATTGTTGACCGCAGGGGTGTATCTCTGAGAAAGAGTCTAGATGTAAAGCTACAAAACCAAAGCACACCACTACAGCCATCAACAATAGCATTTGAATTTAAATGTTGTTTCTTAAAGAGCATAGATTTTTCTATGAATTCTATAATCAGTAATGACGTATCCGTAAAAAAGTGCACTGTGTTGTATGCAACATGTTCTAATCACCCTCAGGAGCATTAAAAAAATATTGGTATCTGTCTAAGTTTTTAAACAGGTAGTTGAAAATGAAACTGAAAGGCAGATCACCTGCATAATGGCCCAGGGGATTTTACTGTTTACTCTAAACATTCTTACCTGACTAATCTCGGAGACTACACTTAGGGGCATGACCAGCACTGCCACCATTAGGTCCGCCACGGCCAGCGAGAGGATAAGGTAGTTAGCCACGTTGTGAAGTGACCGTTCCAGGATAACCGCAGCAATTACGAAGCAGTTTCCGATGATGCAGCAGAGGACGAAAAGACCAAGAATAATGCTTGTGACGATAAGGTGCTCCTGACTGTACACTGTCAGGTGCCACTCCGGAGGTCCCACGTCCACGTCACTCGTGCTGTTGCTAGCGTTGGAGCTATGGATGACGTGACTTCCACTATTCCCGGAATGGCGGTGACTGTGTTGTCTGTGTGGGTGCCGCATGAGGTCTTCCGTACGATTCCTAAGGATGTTGGAAAGTTGTGGAAGTAAGGTCGTAGAAGATCCTCCGATGAACGAAGAGTGGACATTATCCACAGTAGTGCTACTGGTGATGACGCCATGGGAAGACGTGCTGGCGTTTAAAGCAGCGGTTAGGCTATCTTGTAACGCTGTGACGAGGTTCAGGATAGGTACGTCGGTGGTTAAAGAGCTAAGTGTCCCGGAGTCTGCCATGGCCTATTTGTCCTCAAATCTAAATCTTGGAGGAGGAAGTAAAATCACAAAGTCTGGTCGTATGCAAATTTACATTGGCCTTAAAGGCGTACACCTCGTTGGAGAGGAGAATGGCTACATCAGCAAGCATAAAGCCTGTCTTAAGATCAATAACTAGAGGTAAACACGCCGAGGATGGCTTTCCCTGTCGTCATCACACAATGGCCATCTACGGAGTAGAATATTGATCAAAATTGATTTCATGTCTAACTGCGGGCCGATTGAAAAGCAGCAGGAGGTGGTAATTACGGTAACGAACAATGCTATAATTGTCTATCCCCTACAAGCTCGCGAAACACCCTTCTGGGTTGAGAAGACCAGCCCAGATTCGATTCTCCATTTTTCTTGCTTTTACGCGAAATTAATGTATATTCGATATGCAGATCACAACCAAATTCGCGCGTAGCAACAGAAAAGAAAAGAAATCTAAACAATGGAAACCCTAGGACTACCCTCTGAGGTTTTTGACGAGTGCAATCTGCTCTAATTCAGTACGATACACATCGTTTCACCGAACGGGTATATTTTTCCCTTACATTAACATCACTGTCACTTTTTTTCTATATGATCTCCCATAAGAGCACGCCGGACTTCTGTGAATCAAAACCAGTGTCATTGATAAAGTCTCAAAGTAATCCGATGTTTTGTGTCTGCCTTCCCAGCTTTTTGACAGGTTTATTGGAAGAATGAGTGTAAAAATAGATGTTCGAAGGGTGGCAGTCCTCACATTGTATCAATGAAGGCGACAACACCACAGTCAGGGAAGCAGATTCTCGAGATGAAAGCTCCTCTAGTTCTTCACTGAATGACGTAAACTGCTCTCTTTCTGTGTCACTTCTGTTTACAGTCGGGTTTCTGTTGAATAGAAACAAAAATTAAATATCTTGAAAAATGTTTTTATTCCTTTCATGGCAAACAAACAATCCCCCTCCCTTATTTTCTTTTTAAAAAAACAGAGTCCAGAAAATAGCTTGGATGAGGAGCAAGCGTCAGCGAGCAACGAAGGATATGTATAGAACCGGTCTCACGCAACACAACAATGCGGGTTTCATGCTGTGTTCACACGATTCAATTAAGAGAGGCTTGGGTGTGTCCACAGTGACATCCACAGCTAATAAGGTGGTGAACAGAGAAGATGGAACAATGACAGAAGGTACAATGCGCGTTAGCGAGACGTTTGCTGCCTTCAAAATAAAAAGCGTATCAAGCGGAAGAAATGTGCATGTGTAAGTGGAAAGCGCTCTCGACATTGTTAACGTCCGCGCTTTAAAAAAGCAGCCCTGTAATTGTGATACCGAGAATTCAATTTATTTCTGTAAGCAGGAAAATAATCTAGAAAAATGTTACAATTGCGGTCGGAGCGACATTATTTAAGAGTTCAATAGTCCTCCGGGAGCACCCTCTAGTCCAGTTAGTGTCATGCTGGGTTGCAATTCAGTCGACATTGATTTAAATTTTCAAAAAGGAATTTCAACATTTTTCTTTCTGGCATGGGTCATTTTTTTAAAAAACATGTTCATGCGAGTGAGGGATTTGAGGTACGGAAAGGGATGGAGTTGCTTTTAAGTTTTCCTTCTGTTTTTTTTTAGTTTTTGTTTTGTTTTGTTTTGTTTATTTGTTTTTTCTAGGGTGTGGGGTTGCTTCTTTTTGGGTTTTTTTGTGGGTTTTTTCTTCATCTGACTTTCAAGTTTAACTTCGGTAAGAAAGAGAACTACTGGAAAGGCAAGGTTGCTAATGTGCAGAAAAACACGTGTCACAAGGAACGTGAAAAGGAAAACTGAGCCGTCAGTGAGAGGGTAAACAACACTAAACTTCCAGCCCACAAGGGCGAGCCCGATCACGGGCGATATGACTTGCTGATTTTCCAGGTTCTGAGACTTGTTTGCAATTGCTTCACTTTCTGTAATTTCCCTATACTATCATCATGCTTTCTCAAGTAAATAAACTTTTCTTAATGAATAATATTGGAAATGGAGTTATTATTTTAGAGACATTAAAAGTATATAATACGACTAATGGTGCGCGTTCACAATTCATTTACATCCCACCCAATGATATGGACAAAAAACAAAAACAAATAACAACAACAACAAAAAAGTCACTTGGTACTTGATAAGCACATATTTTTTGTCTTTTCAACTCTACCAGTGAGTGTACATCGCAGGGCTCTCGATCTAATAGTGGTTTCAGACAACTAAGTCAGGCTTTTGGTGCAAGTTGGCTCTTCCCATCTCCAACTTTCAGCTAAAGAAAATACTGTTCAAGTTTCGGTAGTGTTGCTCCAAACTATTGGGTCTCCTTAGATGTGACCCCTTGCGAGCAGCTCCAAAACAATAAGTTGATTATTCTTATTCTACCCCAAAACCCCCCACAAGCATGTATGCTAATATGAAATTTTTTAAAATGAAGAGGAAATAACGCATTGAGCAAAGTTTGCCTTTGTATTGAGCTTGTTCTTTTGGTGATATTGTAATTGTAGTTTTTCCAACTGATTCTATGATGAATTTCCTTCTTTTCACATCTTGTTTCAATTCCAGGTTGTTTCTTTTTATCATTTTGCAGTTTAAGTGACGATATTGGCTATTTTTTACGCATTGTTTTGTTATGATTTTGTGTACTTTACATATTGTTTTGTGTCATTACCTGTTTTATTTTTTTGACATTTTTGTTTTTGCTGTTCAAGCCAAGATATTGTCCTTTTCGAGGCATTTTTATACTGAGATTTGAATCGGTGGCTCAAGACACACAAGACGTGTAGACATACTTTGGTGTACATTCACCAGCTGGTGTAGTATGATTTGCCATAAGTTGAACTCCCTTTCCAACACTGCAGCAGTATGCAAGAGGTGCATTTTACCAATTTAGAGTGCATTTTTTCATCTTCGTCGGGAAAAGAGTGAGCGTTTACAGAATTATGAAAACTCACCCTCTCTCCCCTGTCCGAATGTCAAAGAACGCCAGTTTTAGATTCGAACTACATTAAAAATGAGTTAAAATAGTATTTTCTTCTTTTCTGATATGATCTTGTGTCGTCTTTATACAAAACCAAGAGTACGACTATTACACTACCCACACATCCGCCAAAAAAGATAATTATCGTATTCCCAAATACAATAATGGACTTTTTCTTTTTCTTCTATAGTAGGTTTTAGTGACAGGTTTCAGTATGAAATGGTACGATAACATTTTGGTTATGAAATCTACGAAAAATTGTAGAAGATCAAGGCCCTACATGTAATTGTGGTAGACTACAAAATATGAAGGTAACTAATGTGATGCAACGCATTCTAAACTGCAGTTTACACAGAACATAGCAGTTCTCAAACCATTTACCAATAACCGTAGCCTAATATTAAAAAGAACCAAGACGTGCTATAAACAATTATATTATTATGCCTGACGAAATGGAAGAGCAATCACAAAGATCTTGGAAAAAAAAACAAGAGTGAATTGTTCTTTATTCACTTCTGCCCGTGGTGTGTATATTGTTATATCGTATGTATATAAGTACGTGACTGAGTACACGAATAGCTGGTAAAGCACAAGTGTTTGGTTGTGTAGAGGGGAAAACGGGGGTTTGGGGTGGGGGGGGGGGGGGG